GAGCGGAGAGACCCCCAGGAGGCTCCTTCCTGCTGGCTCAGGCCTGCTGACCCCTGCTGGCGCTGCAGTTTGCTGGCCCTGAGGGCCATGAAGCTGCATCCTGGCGGCCAGGTGCTTGGCATAGTCCTGGACCTCTCCTCCCTGTCGGTGTTCCATAAGGTGGAGCCAAAGCTGCACCAAGGGCACTTCTAGCTCCCACAGAGCCCCTGAGCAACTGCCCCCAGATCCTGTCCAGATAACCCTCCCTGGGGATGTCTCTCAGTCACCCAGCCGTAACACACCAGGTCTGACGTGTCTTCTCCACCCCAGACTCACAGCTTCTCTTCAGCTCCCAGGGGAATGGGACAGCAGGGTGAAAGGGAGTAGGGGTGTTGGCCAGGGACATGTGGCTCTGAGCCATGATGTTCCCAAGAGCACTTCATGCAGAGGACAGTGGCTGCAAAATAAACCTGAGATGAAGGAGGTAAGCGAGCCTGAGCCACGCAAAGACCAAGTCTCTGGATTAGCTGCACCAAAATATAGGCCTTGTCCCCTCACCACAGATCCCCAGAGATGTCTTGAAATATTTCACCTTGGTGTGAGGAAATCCGTTCCAGAGGGTACCTGCCCATCAGAAAGGCCTAGAACTGCCCTGCCAAGGCCTCTGCAGAACAGACCAGCAGGGGTAGCTTTAGGTTAGTTTTAACTCACATGCTACTTGGGGAAAAACAGCAGAAGGGAAGAGAAAAGCCCTCAGCTCTATCTCCCTGCTGCAGCCCGATAGAAAAAGAGACAGAGGGTCTTAGTACTCACTGACTTTAGCAGACCCACTGTCACAGTGGATGATCATATGTCCTCTGAGAAGCAGGTGGAGCCACACCCACCTCCTTGGAGTGGAAAGTGAGAAGAGAAGCCCCAGACTTCTTTCTCCTGAAATCCAGAATGGTGGATCATTTGCTTAGGCCATGCTCTTTCCTCATTAAATACGTCCTGTCCCATAAAATCTCTCCTCTCCACCCGGCTCAGGTGTGCACTCACCTGCCCTGCCACACAAGTCTTCTAAGCCTCCTCCCTGGCGTTTTTATAACCTCTATTCTACTTCTGTATCCAAGCTGGAATGATCTTTGATCTCACTGCATCCTCCTGCGGCCGCCACCCCCTACATAGCAGCGAAGTCTCTGTGATCTGTCCATCACTGCAGCCCCGCCCTCCAGTCTGGATGCTCCCGCACATGCCCAGCTCTCTGCAGCCCATCTCAGTTCCTGAGGTCCTGCCTGTCCTGAGATCAACCCCTCCCCACTCCTTTCTGTGTCTTCGTTACCCTGTGCCCGTGTTGTCTTGCCCCTCTCCTCCTTGATGCTGTGGTCTCCTTCCTGTTTTCTCTTATTCAAGCCCCTAGTCATCTCAAAGATCAGCTCTTTCCGCATCACCACCTCCTCTTTGTAGCCTCACTCTCCCTCCTGGACTGGGAAGGTCCCTCCTGCACCTGATTATTTCAGCCCTCCAGCGGGAACTCTGTAGTGGACCTATTTGTATGCAGTTGGACCAGACAGGGAGCTCCTGGGGGAATGGCATGATGTGTGGTTGACTTTTTTTAATTCCTGGCTTGTGAAACAACTTGGCACACATTCTTATGTCCTTAAAAAGTGGGATGGTTGGAGGGTTTGTATGAACGAATGGGAGTGTGCTTTTAAATTCTAAATGGCTATGCAAATGGAAGTCTGTTTTCAGTGATATCTCCATTGAGTACATGGCTGGTGACTACTTTCTGGAAAAGGAGGAGGAATTAGAGAAATGGAAAAAGACACGTTCTCCAAAACACAAACATGTAGAGTTTTCTCCCAACCTGCCAATACTCTGATACTTTTGTAAAATACAGGAAGAAAACTTTTTGAGAAAAGTTAAACAGACAAGAATAAGACCTACCAAATATAAGTACAGGTTTATGAGTAGATTCAGCAGATATTTAGTTGTCCTGGCAAACTATGAGCATGCTCACTCTCAGCTTTGTACTTACCTCATTGCAGAGCAGAAACAGTGTGCAAATTAGTTCCTGCCCATTTACTGCACCTTAAGTTAGACTTGGATATTTTTAGTAGCCACCCGTGGAATGAAAAAATTAATGAGAGGAAACCACTCATGTGTAAATCTAATGGTGGAGATGGTAAGGACATAAACTAATTAGAAAATAAACAGAGGACATTTAAAATTGCAAAATGGAAAATTATTGGAATGGTAAAATAGCCCTCTTAGTATATGCCACTGCTCACTGCCCCCCACCCCCAAAGTGGTGGGCGTGCATTGATACTCTTACAGAATAATTGTCTTTGTGCAAAAGTTTTAAATTGATCCTTCATTGTTAACAGTATGGTAGCCAAAGGTGCTGACATTGTCAATAAAATTAATAAGCAGAACAACAGGCTCTAATAAATGTCATTGGTATCCTTACTCTGTCATTTTGAGCACAAATGAACTGTTATTATCACTGCGCTTCAAACCTCTCATTTTGGCTCCAGATGATTATAGCTATAATGGAGAACTTGCTACTGGAGTCTTCAGTAACTGGTTCAAGGTTAAAGCCTCATACTTAAAAGCTTAACTGTGAACAGTGGATGGAACATGCTGGGGCCGTACGACTTTGATCTGTTTTCTAGAGTGACCTGCAAAATCTTGGACACCCAATGATCTATTTTCTCAATAATTTCAGAAAATAAGCATCTTTTAAAATCCAGTGTCTGTACCATGGATGCTGAGGGTTTTGAAGCTCTCAATTAGAGAGGGCCATCATTGGTTGGAAACCAGGGTCATGTGAGTCTTTAAAGCCACATGGAACTCTTCAAGCCCCTTTTCCCATCTTTCTCTTACATGAAGAATTTAGTCTTGGTTTTCTACAAGTGAGCATGCTTTGTACATGAAGTATGGAAAAGGGTTTTTCCTTCTCTTGTAAAGCCCCAATGCAGAACATCTGGAGCCAGCCAGGTGAATTTGGGATGCACACCCACCTCAATCCCACCTCTCACCCATAGCTCCCCAGATTATTCTGCTTTACCTTCTTAGTTTTGCATGCTACATGATTTTAAAAATGTCCAGCAAGGCATTAAACTATCCTCAATTATAGGCATTCCAAGCAAGTCAAGGATTAGCCCATTGTACCATGTGTGATTTAACAGAAATATTGATGAATATGTTTGATTTTTTTAGAAAGCTCAAGTTGGTTCAACATGCACTGTTACTTCAATTCTCACCTTCCTTAGCTTCTTTTATTTGGGCATTAACTTCCTCCTCTGCAAGCGTCCAAACTCATTATCATTGTTCAGTTCCTGACAGTAAGGAGAACAGGCCTTGCTTTCATGGGGGTTTAAAGGCCACTACACTTAGATTTATGAATCTGGTACCTTATGGAGACGATCACTTTCTTGAAAATAAAATCTGTTACCAACGAAGCTCGATTAAAAAAAAAAAAGTCTATTAGCATTGTTTCATGTGTGACAGTGATTTTAGTTTGAAAAAGCTAAAATTGAAACTTATGCAAACCTTAAAGTGTGCTACTTAAGAAAGTTGATGAGGAAGCCTCTGCCTTTTTTTTTCTTCTGACAAGTGAATTCTTTTTATTCTCATGGCATAGGGAACAGTCTCTGAAATAAATCCGATATTAGGGCACAAATCAAATCTTAGCAAATACAAAACAATAGGGATAATTCCTTGCATCCTATCAGACCATAAAGGAATAAAATAGGAATCAATGACAAGGTAAAAATATACAATATTCTAACACCTGAATAAATAATACATTTCTTAAAAAAAAATATGAAAGCTTGTTTTTAGAAATTCTGGGCTGTTTTCCCCAGTTTTGATCAGAACCTCTCTTTGCCGCCTCTCTTATTCCTGTACTGCTTAATTTGGATTCCAGTCCCCATAGTTTCTCCCCAGCATACAGCCCTGTTTTTTGGAGGAACAAAAAGAACCCTAAAGAATGTGGATTATGAAAAGGTGTGAGGAGGAGTCCTCTACTGGCTCTCAAATCCCAGTTCTCCTTGGAGTCCCCTCTGAGCAACTCTCTCACTGCTAGGCGTGGACTGCGGTTTAGTGCTGCGGCTCCCTGGTCTGGTGGTTCCTCTGGGGCTGGCTTCCTCTGGGGCTGCAGGTCGCAAGCTCCCTTTGATAGGGGGCCTTGCTGCATTGTTCAGCCTCGGGCAGCGGATTGTATTTATTTTTTCATTTTACATTATTTCAGCTGTTTTCACTTTTTTCTTGGTTGTTTTCTCGCCTCCTGCTGAGTTCTTTTTCAAGCGTTCCAGGGGGGGAAGGGAACACTCAGTTATGAACCCTGCAGCACACACAGGGTGGGAAGCAGTTTTCCCCTTTCTCAGCAATTCAAAGAGCTCCTCCGCACTGTCAGTTGAACCCGCTGGAGATCTGGACCCGTGGTAGATCTGCATGCAAGTGGTTTCTATGTTAAAACACCTCAGACCATTCCAGAGCGTCCTCAGGGCTCACGGGTACCGCCGATCACAAAGCATAAGCCTATTGCACAAGTGCTTATTATTTTAGAAGCTTTTGTAAAGCAAATTGGTATTTGAGGAAGAATTTGGTTCTATACTCTAACAACTGACTGCTTTATGACTTAAAGGTTGTGTTTAAAATAACTGTCCCATTTTAGAATTTTTATTTCTGGTTTCCCACTACATGAAGTTTGGAGTCTTTTAAATCAGTCAAGTATTCAGGAGCCATTATGCCAAAATTGACGTTATTGGTAACCATTCCTGCTCTTCATCTAGGGAAGCTCTAGTACCTTCCAAACCTTCAATGTATACCACACTCTTTCACCTTGCTAAAGTTCCATGTTCTCTAGGTGAGTAGTTTAATCGTCAATGAGGGAACAGCTCTGGATTCTCAGGGTCCAGTTAATGAGCACAACAGCATCAGAATCATTTGAAACAGACCTGAGCGACTTGTCTTGCATAACTAAAGGTGACCTGGAAAAGCTCAGGTGTGTTTAACTCTGTGTGTTGACTTCACAGGATTACCTCGACTGTATCAGGGACCAAGCAAAACTTCCCCTGGGGACTGAAGACAGAGCCGCCCTTTTTGGAAATATACAGGACATCTATCACTTCAATAGGTAAGTCGATACTCAAAAGACTGCTCTCACATGGGAGCATCATGAATTTTTCTCAAATGAATATCGGCTAAGAAAATTCACCCGTAACTCCTGGTTCTGCTTCTTACATCTTTACAGCCTATCATGCCGTGAAGTTCAAGTTCTCTAACTAAAGGCATCCTTGTTTCCTATGTGATTTTTCACATTTATTCAGTATTCTATCCCTCTCCATCCTTCTGACTTAACAAAGAGACCTGTTTGCCCTGAAGTGGGGCATGGAAACCCTTCTTCCACAACCAAACATCCCCAAATACACATTTCCTGGGTCTCCAGCATCCACAGCTACGCTGGATTTTCTGTGAATTTTCTTCTTCCTGAGGAGTGGGGTGGACACCGTAAAATACAGTCAGTCCTTTAAGTTATAACATAATTAATCTAATTTAAAATCCACTTAATTAATAATCATTTCAAATAATTTAATTCAGATGTCTATTAAGGACCTCCTAGGTAGCAAGAACTAGAAAATTACATTAGTAAACAAGAGAGGGAACTGACGGGAGCAGAAGTGAGCACATCAGTCACTACAATCCACTAAGAACCTTTGGAAGACAAGCTAGTAGGTGGGCTAACCATGCCAGCTAAGCCATGCCCAGGCCCTGGGTGAGTCTTCAAACCCAAAGAAATACCTCCTTCACTTCAAGTCTTTGATCAAATTGTACTTTTGCTATGAGGTTCACCAGGTACCCCTACCCACTCACCCCTACCCCTCATCTCCTTTACTTTTTCCTTTCTCTCGTGACACTTGTCAACTCCTCGCATTCTGTATGATGGGCGTTTCCATTATGTCTGTGTTTCTTCCTTCCCACCCCACTCCCAGAATAATCCACAAGGACAAGGATCTGTTTTGTTACTGCTGCAGCATCTAAAACAGCTTCTGGCCCCTAGGAGACATCCTCACTCTTGTTGAATGAATGAGTGGAAATGCTAGGAAACGCCACCTCCCTCCTGTTGCTCTTGGGAAGCTTCAGGGACCCGACAGACCCATCAAAATGGTAGCCAGTTAAGATGCAGATTTTGTAATAGTAAATTGCCATTATGAAATTCTGCCCTGCCCTGTCCTTTTGTGGCTGGTCATGCAGGCTCAATCCTACTCCTCTTTGCTCACTAAGGTTGGTAAAGGTGAGCTCCTTGGGGACCAGATCCCTGTGTCCGTTGCCACTCTTAAATCCCTGATACCTAGCACCAGGCCGGCTTCTGGGAGGCAGGTTCGTTGAGTTGATTCAAATCATCCTTTATTTTGGAAGTCTTTGACATAAGAAATGCCAGAGTTATGTCAGCATTTCCCTCTTACTTGACGCTAGACTTTGAAAACCAGTGTGTGAGTCTGTGGTTTTCCACCTGTGCTCTGTATGGAATCACCTGGGAAATTTTTGGAAACAATCCAGTGGCTGGATCCTCCCTCCAGAAATACTGATTCATTGGTCTGGGGTGGGGCTGGGGCATCAGAATTTTTCAAAAGGTCCTCAGGTGTTTGAACTGCGCAGCCATGGTTCCCCTGTCTTGAAAAAAATTAACTCAATAATGAGAAGATAAAGAAGGAGCATAAAATACTGAAATAGAGAATCCGGAACCTGTGTGTTCCTTAGTAAGATGTTGATAGGAACCCAGGTCCCCGTTAGCTATTGCTGGTGATAAACTCCCATAAGCTTCTGCAGGGTTTCCCCTTCCAGAGCCCACCTAAGGACTCCCAAACCTGAAAGAGGCAAAAGTATTAGATGCTGTTAGGGCCCTGGCCGAGGTCTCCTGTGGTGTAGCTGTAAGTTGATGGTAACAAGTAGGTATGGGGTGAGTGCTTCCCTCTGCCGGAGGCCAGAGAGCTTCAGATCCATTATCACTTCACAAGTATCATGTGGGACTAGCTGGCCCCAAACCCCAGGTGTTGGGCCACGTACCCTCCAGCCAGATGGAGCCCAGCTTGTCCAGCTGTGGTTAATGAAGCTGTGGCTGACCCCAAGAGAGATTTTGACTCCCTGGAATTTAAATGTTCATGTGCCTCCTGAGTTAAAGACAAAAATGAGGTCGTAAGAAGGGACTTGGCAGTGGAACCCAGTCTACAAAGGTTGGATGGCTGAGAGACCTTGACATTCCTGAATTGATTCTCTGTTCTTTTCTGTTTGATGTTCATTGCTCCTGAAAGTCAGACTTGTCTAAAGTAAACCTGAGTCAGAGTAATGAACAGCCTGATGGTGATGCACACGAGGCATCAATGCAGTGACACCACCACAAGGGGTCATGCCCATGCCTGTCCCTGTGTGGCTCACAGCTGTGTGTTCCCTGGACATGCATAACCTCATTGCATCTTCCGACACTCTGGTGCAGATACGATGAAGCCTTATACATTCTTTTTTTAAAATTTTTTTTATAGTTGTAGATGGACAGCACACCTTTATTTTATTTACTTATTTTTAATGTGGTGCTGAAGATTGAACCCAGTGCCTCCCTAGTGCTAGGCAAGCGCTCTGCCTCCGAGCTCCAGCCCCAGCCCCAGCCCCTAATACATTGTTTATAGATGAGGAATGAATTGTTAATGGTCAGGAAGTCCTCTGCCCAAGGACATAGAGCTAGAAATCTAGTCTTGTCCGTCTGAATACTTATTTTTACCAGACTTCAGTACCTTTCACTGCTTTGGATGACTGAGAAGACCTTGACGTTCCTGAATTGCTTTCAAAAAATATTTAACTCTGACATTTGAATCTTCTGTACTGTTTCGACCCCATTTGTTTTTATTTCCTTTCTCTTAAACCCACAATTGTCTTTTTTGCTATTCTATTTGATTAAGTAAGAGTATTGATGTATCTTTTTATGTCAGTGCTGCTTATGAATCTTTTATTATATACTGTAGATCAATTGATTTCAAAGAAAACTATCTGGCAAATTAATGTTGGGGCTTGAAATAAAAACCTTTAAAGTTTCTATTCTTAGTTCAGATCCAGGGTTTTCAACATAATAATATTGCATTTCCAAAATTAAAGAGAAAATTAAACAAAAAAATTGTTTTACATTGGCCTAAAAAAATGCAGCTGAATAGACTTCTTCCTTCAGGAAATACAGGGAGAGTATCCCTAATCTGACAATCCAAAATTGAAATGCTCCAAAATCTGGAATCTTTTGAGCATTAACATGGTGTCACAAGTAGAAAATTTCACATCTGACTTCATATGATATGTCACAGTCAAAACACAAGCACATCTTTCAGTAGATGAATAGATAAAGAATATGCAGTACATAGACACAATGGAATATTACTCAGCCATAAAGAAAAATGAAATTATGGCATTTGCCAGTAAATGGATGGAATCAGAGACTATCATGCTAAGTGAAATAAGCCAGTCCCCAAAAAACAAAAATCAAATGTTTTCTCTGATATTTGGATGCTAATACACAATAAGGTAGGGGGAGGGAAGAATAGAAGTTAATTTGATTAGACAAAGGGGAATGAAGGAAGGAGGGAGGGAGGGGAATAGGATGACAGTAGAATGAATCAGACATAACTTTCCTATGTTTAATATGAATACAGACTAGTGAAGCTCCACATCATGCACAACCACAAGAATGGAAAGTTATACTCCATGTATGTATGATATATCAAATACATTCTACTGTCATGTATAATCAAAAAGAACATATAAAAATTAAAAGGATAAAAATAAGACACAAGCACATTAAAAATACTGTCAAATTACCCTCAAGTTGTATATAAGGTATGCATATAACAAATGAGGCTGTGTTTAGTCTTGGGTCCCATATCCACAATATGTCATTTTGAAAAGGAAATATTCCCAATTCTGAAAAAGTATGAAATCTAAAACACTTCTGGTCCCAAGCATACAGGATAAGGGATACGTGACCTGTAGTTCCAAAATGCAGGAAAGCATCAGCGTATGATACACACCCATGAACCACCCACCTCTATCTGAGCCTTTCTTGTTCCATATTAGCTTTAGAAGTTTTTTAAAGCATAAAGACATTAGAGATAATACTGAAGCCAATTAGATACTCTCCCCCAGCGGCACGTGGCTTTGGAGAATGGCTGACACTGGTTGGTAAACCAGTTCTCCAGCACGGAGACAGGAGGAGGGAGGTCTGGAATTTATAGTGCTCATGAATTTCTGTGGTATTTTACTAACAGCTTTATTAAGAAATGTAACTCTCACACAATCCATTGGTTTAAAATGTACATAGTGTTTCACGGTGACTTCAAAGAGAGTTAATTTTAGAACATTTTTGTCACCCCAAAAAGAAACTCTACACCCTTTTGCAGTCATTCCCACTTCCTTCACCCCCAGGCCCTAGCAACCACATCTGCTTTCTGTCGCTAGTTTGCCTATTCTGGGCTTTTCATATAGACAGAATCAAAGACTCTATGGCCTTTTGTGACTGGCTTCTTTCATTAAGCATAACATCTTTGAGGTCTATGCCAATTGCAGCATACATCAGCACTTCATTCCTTTTTGTTTCTAAATAATATTCCATTGTATGGATATACCACAACTTATTTACCTGTTACCAAGTTGCTGGACATTTGGGTGATTTATAGTTGCAGTTCATTTAACTACTATCTAGTACTCCATGGGGGCTCTATCCCTTTGTGTTGTGCCAATTGCAGTAAATAGGAGCATCTTTCTTATTGGCCCCTTAGGTTTCTTTTGTGGTTTCCTGGATCACATCCATTGTCCAATTTCCTGTTGGGATGTTTCTTTTTCTTGTTGTAAAGGAGTCCTTGATGAATTCTAGCTAGTGATCTTCATATATCATGTTCCAAATAAATCCTAGAATGAGACATGTCTTTTAACTCTAATTATGGTTTCTTTGAGAATGAGTTATTAAAATCATAAGTTTGACAACACAGAATATAATTTTAAAAAGTTTTTTTTAGTTGTAGTTGGCACAATACCTTTACTTATTTATTTATTTTTATGTGGTGCTGAGGATCCAACCCAGTGCTAGGTGAGTGCTCTACC